GAAGGGTCTAGGCCCGAAACGTCAGCCTCTCTGCTCCTATGATGCTGCTTGGCCTGCTGTGTTCATCCAGCCCTGCACCGATTTGAAATGTTGTTGAGTTTCTCCAGCAATTTCTGACTTTGTGATATAGTAACTTGGGGGATGCAAATGAAATTTGGGAATTCTGCAATTTGTGTTGAAATTCTAAATTGGCAAGATTGTAATTAGTTTTTTTGTATAGAGAAAGCAAATTGGGAGGATGAATATGAATATGTTGACTTGATAGAATGTTATTTTTGGAATGCGGGTCAAACTAAATCAAGTAACACAATTGATACAAATTCTGGGATCAGACAGAACTCTTCTTCTACAGGGATAGTGGGAATTGCCGATGCTGGAGAATCTGAGATAACAAGGTGTAGAGCTGGAGGAACACAGCAGGCCAAGCAGCATCAGAGGAGCAGGAAAGCTGACGTTTCGGGTCTGGACCCTTCTTCAGAAATGGGGGAGGGGAAGGGGATTCTGAAATAAATTGAGAGAGAGGGGGAGGTGGATGGAAGATAGATAGCAGTTTCAGGGCCGAAGAGATTACAAGAGGGTTGCAGTGGGAGAGAGATCCACTAAGGTCTTTCCGGAGGGAGGAGGGTAACTTCTTCAAGGTGGGCATCCTTAGAAGAGGCTTTGCAGTGGTGTTAAAATCGATTCAGAGATGGTGGGGACTGCAGATGCTGGAGAATCTGAGATAACAAGGTGCAGAGCTGGATGAACACAGCAGGCCAAGCAGCTCTCCAGAAAGAAAGCCTCTTCTAAGGATGCCCACCTTGAAGAAGTTACCCCCCCTCCCTCCGGAAAGACCTCAGTGGATCTCTCTCCCACTGCAACTCTCTTGTAATCTCTTCGGCCCTGAAACTGCTGTCTATCTTCCATCCGCCTCCCCCTCTCTCTATTTATTTCAGAATCCCCTTCCCCTCCCCCATTTCTGAAGAAGGGTCCAGACCCGAAACGTCAGCCTTCCTGTTCCTCTGACGCTGCTTGGCCTGCTGTGTTCATCCAGCTCTACACCTTGTTATCTCTTCTTCTACAGGCTTGGGTTTGGAAATCTAGAGAACATTAGGTGCCTATGGCACGAATTCATTATTGGGTGTCCTGGTTTCAAACCCCACCATGGCACCTGTGGAATTTTAATTCAGTTAACTGGAGTAAATAGCAACTGCCAGCGATGGTATCCATGTAACTACCAGATAGATGTAAAAAGACACGCAGTTCACTAGGGAGGGAAATTCGCGGTGTTCACTCTCTCTGACTAGCGCCACAGCTATCTGAAGTCTAGGCCAGCAACTACTTAACATTGTAACCACATCCATACTCGCGTAAGTGAATTAAAAACAAAACAAACTATAGCGTGAAACCTCAGAGGAAGAGAGTTTTAATTCAGACCATAGAACAGGACAGCACAGGCAATAGCGTGGTGTCGCCCTGAAATGCGAGTCATCCAGAACTAGGAAAGGTACTTTCCCATCAAGGACAGCGCTCTCTTCGGCTCAAACAAATCAAAGAATCGCCTCGACACTCTCTCGGCTCAAAGTTAAATCAAAGAAACATCTCGACACTTCGTCCTCTCTCTGTGTTGGTTCTGCCTGATGGAGTTGACGCGATGTGCTAGGCTGCTAAACGTGGAAAAGGTTGATCCTGCTGAATGCAATTGTCCCAGCTGAGAACCAGCCAAGTGAGCAGAGCTGGACATATTGGACTGGGAGGGGAACAGGTTGAGCTGGGTAAGGTTAGGTTGGATCGGAATAGCCTACACTGGGAGAAACTGGGTTGAGCTGGGTTAGGACAGGCTGGATTAGTTTGGGAGAGACTGGGCTGCGCAGGATCGGGTTAGGACAGGTTGGAGTAGGTTGGGAGAGACTGAGTTGTGGTGGATCAGGGTAGGCTGGATTATTTCTGACTCACGCTCTCCAACGCTCAACAGCAGAAGCTCTGCAGAAGCCAAAGCCGGACTTGGAGAGGAGTCTCTCCAAACCCCTGGGTGAACCTAGTTATTTGTTTAAAAAGTCTTTACAAAGACATTTCCGACTTCTGCTCCCCCGGACAAGGGATTAAAGAAGATGGAATCCTGTGAAGATATCGACAATGTGCATCGGGATGGCAAAGTACTGAGCAGCATTTTGTTGTTCAGCACCGGACTGCTCGGTAACGTTATCGCCCTGGCCATTCTGGGCAAACACAAGTGGGACAGCAGGCAAGGGGTATCCGTCTTTTATATCCTTGTCACCGGTCTGGTGCTGACCGACCTGTTCGGAAAATGCCTCATTAGCCCGGTGGTGTTCGCTTCTTACGCTTCAAACCTCACCTTGAAAGCTCTGGCGGGTAACAACACCCTGTGTGATTACTTCTCCTTTTCCATGTCCTTCTTCGGCTTAGCCTCAATGTTTATCCTGTTCGCCATGGCCCTGGAATGCTGGCTGTCTATAAGCCACCCGTTCTTTTATCAGGAACATTTCACCAAGCGCCGGGCGGTCCTCATTTTGCCTCTGGTTTACATTTGCTGCCTTTTGCTTTGCTCAATGCCTTTGGTGGGTTTTGGGAGAACTAAACAGTACTGCCCGGGGACTTGGTGCTTCTTTAACATGAATGAAGTGGACTCGCTGCCTTTTTCGGTGGTCTACGCGACCCTCATGGCTATCCTCATTGTCGCCGTGATACTGTGTAACAGCTCTGTGGCTATTAACTTGACCAAAATGTACCGGAGGCAAAGGCGAATGAGTAATACCAACCTGAGCGTGTGCAATCGCTCCCGTGAGCAGTTCGCCCACTCTGAGGAGATGGAGAATCTCATCCTCTTGGTTCTAATGAGTATCATCTTCCTTATTTGTTCCCTGCCTCTCACGGTAAGTTCACCTTTTTTTTTAATCACCCCCTTTTGTTTTGGTCCAGTTTACTCATAAACTAAAACACCGTGAAGGCGAACAAAAAAAACATAGCGAGCCGGTGTGTGGAAATAGGCGCAGCTCTCCGCCGGCTGCACACCAGTCGCAGCATGTTATTATAAATTCATCCTCGGGAGACAATTTCAAATGTTGTAAACCTCGGAAATAAGTGAGAAGGATTGTAACAGACTTTAGGAGAATACACTTTGGCGAAGTCTCCACGCAGCTTTTTAAAGAGGTTTAAGCGAAGGGATTTCTTTTGATAGATGGTAGAATGTAACATTGTCTGCAAGAATAAGTAATTTGACCGTGACAAGACCATTTCGTTTTTGATCCGTGGCTTTGTAGATGGAGGCAGAGGGAAAAAAAAAAGTCAAATCGGTTTTACATAACAGTGGCTGGAATATTGTGGGGATCTTCACTTTTCCCAATATGTGTTTGGACACGTAATAGTGAAATAGTGCGCGGGTAGGTTAATAGATGCACTTGATCTAGCAAGGTGCAGCTTTAGATAAAGGGCTCCTCCGATGTCACGGGTATTATGCTGGGAGACTCTTCCGAAAGAAGTTTCGCTTCCCCTACCCCGGGCAGCCTTTGCATGTACCTCGGTCTTTGTTTCAGAAACACGAGTGATTTAGCGATGCAAGTTAAAAGAGTTTTTTTTAAAAAAGATCCGGGTGATTTGGCGGCGGAAAAGACCGTTCAAACGGTGCGAAAAGGGATTTCTGTATGTAGAGGGATATCGAGGAGAAAAAGATCAAAACATTTCCCTTTCTAGCAGAAGAATTTCTGGGTTCCATTGTTTTTTAAAAAAACGAATTGTTTCAATATGTTTTTGTGGCAACTGACATTGCTGTGGGATGGATCAGTTGATGGTTGTGATTAACTGAATAAGCAACTGGAATGAATAAAAATAGGATTGCTTGTTTAGTACTCAACTGAAACTCTTCGCTAAAATCTTTGGCAGGAGGAATTTACGCTTTGCTTTTGACACCAAACATATATCTAGGTCATGAGTCCCTTATTATCATTAAGCAAACATAATGATGTCGATCATGGGAATGAATCCCAGAACATTGATTTTTCTGGCAGGTTTGTGTGTGAACAAGCTGCCAGGCTGTCAGATCTGTTGGCATTTTTTTTTAAATGTTTGCACATTAGTTATTTAAATAGTCTATCAGTACAGATACAATAAGTGACAGTCCTGACTTTTTAAGTGGGTGATCAGTCTCCAAGCATCCATGGCACCTTTTCCAGATCACCCACCTCATGAGGATCAAAGTTAACACAGCACACTGAATGATATCTTTATCAATTTTTGTACACAACTATTATTCTTTCAGCTTTATATTAGCTACTTTACTTGCCTTATCAATTGCCTCCTGCCACGAGTTATACAGCCTCAGAAGCTTGCTTATTGATATTCCTGAATCTTTTCCACCCATGGTAGGAACAGTTGAACAGAAGCTTCCAGACCAATTTTTCTGAGGTTTGTTGTTTGGCGAAGTTTCTAAAATCTGTTAGGAGGGTTACAGTGACTGGCAATTCGATAATTATGAACCCCTGACCGGGAGACACAGCACAGCTTTGAATTGAGTAAACCATATCTAATGAACCTAGTGGAATTGTTTTGATGCGGTAACAAAGGTATTAAGGAGTGCCAATGGATATTATGTATGTGGATTTCCAAAAGATATTTGAGATTCCACATAGGAAATAGTTAATAAAAAATATGAGCGCATTGAATATGAAGAGACAGGTTAGTTTTGATAGGAAATTTGGGTAGGAAGTAGGAGACAGAGAATCAGGATAATGGGTATGCATCAAATTAGTTGTGGTTAGTGATGTCAACCAAGAATCTATCCTAGGGTATCAATTGTTCATTATATTTAGAAATAATTTGAAGGAATAGGGAACTCTTTATCTAGGTTTACTGAAGACACCAAAATAGCAGGTGAAATTGTCTAGATAGGAGGCAAGGGAAACATTAATAGATTAAATGAGTGTGCAAAACTGTGGCAAATCATATTCAATGTTTGAAAATCTCAGTCAATCTATTTTGGATCTAAGAGACAATAACGTATTCCGAAATGGCAAGAAGCTTGAAACTGTTGACAAGCAAATGAATTTAGAGGTTCAGGCTGAGAAGTTATGCTAGCGGACAGTGACAAAAAAAAATGAAAAGATTGAGGACATCAGCCTTTATCTCAAAGACTACAACACAATGAGGTGTGCATTATTTCATGTTTGAACAGCAGACCGATTAGACTCCACCTTGAGATAACAAGAACTGCAGGTGCTGGAACCTGAGATAACAAAGTGTGGAGCTGGAGGAACACAGCAGGCCAAATAACATCAGAGGAATAGGAAAGCTGACGTTTCTGAAGAAGGGTCCCGACCCAAAACGTCAGCTTTCCTTTTCCTCTGATGCTGCCTGGCCTGCTGTATTTCTCCAGCTCCACACTTTGTAATCTCAGACTCCACTTTGAATACTGTTATTACACATAACCATTGCACACCAGATAGGATACATCAGCCTTGGAAGGATTGCTGCACAGATTCATCAGAATGATACAAGAACCAAAGAGTTACATTATGGGGAGAAGTTGCTTAAACAAAGATTGTAATCACTTGAATATCAAAGATTAAGGAGTGATCTAATTGTCATGCTTAAGGTGATCAAAGTGTTAACAGGATAAATAGAGAGAGAATATCTTCTCTGGTGAGGGTCTCTAGAACATGTGAGCATAACACTAAAATTAATTTGGGGTGATATTAGTTCTTCACACAAGGGGTAGTGGGAATTTGGAACACAGTCCCCTAAACATCTGTTGAAGCTAAATCAATTGAAAACTTTGATACGGAGTTTGATGAAATGTGATAGGCAAATACGTCAGAGCTATGCAAACAAGGCAGTTAAACAGAGTTAAGAAATTGAATAATTGTAATCTAACTGAATGAGTGAACAGGCTTAAAGAGCTGAATAGCCTACTCCAGAATGTGCTGGTGAAACTCAGGGTTGGCAGCATCTGTGGAGAGAGAAACAGAGTTTATATTTCGAGTCCAGTGAACCTTCATCAAAACTGAAAGTAGCTGGGGAAGGGTGCTATTTATTCTGATGATGTTGGACCTGGGGGTATTGGGAGGCAACGGAAAAGGCATGAGTAAAATATATGAGGATGGTGCCCAGAGAGAAGGAGTAAAAAGAAAATGAGAAGCAAAGGGATTGCTTCTGGTGAGCTAAGAGAGAGACAAATGCTGAATGGCTGCTAATGCAAAGTGTGTACAGTTGAAAATGGATTTGTTTTGCTAGGAGCAACCATACAAAGCAAGCCATGGGAGTGAGTAATGAACATGGAGGAAAGTGTTTATGCTCTTAAATGGTTAAACAAAGTTGTCCTCCAGCCTGCGTTGAGCTTTGCTGCGGCACTGCAACAGTCAGAAATGTTGGCATGACATTACAATTAGTTCACAGCAACATTTTAAAATCTCATTGCCAGCGTAGAACTGGACTCGCCAACTTTAAGGGCATTTAAATGGTCATTGGATAAACATATGGATGATAATGGAATAGTTTAGGTTAGATGGGCTTCAGATTAGTTTCACAAGTCAGCGCAACAGCGAGGGCCGGAGGGCCTGTACTGCGCTGTAATGTTCTATGTTCTATGCTGAAGATACATGATAAGCAGTTTTCCTGGTAACTCAGCCAGCTAAAGCATTGAAAGCTGAGATACACTGTCCAGAGACTTAACAGTTTCGACTTTTGGTCTGCGCTCAATTCGATAATTTCAACTATGGACATGACAATTGGACTTGGTGTCCCGGAGAGTATAAGATAGGTCGATTTTTCTTACTTTTTTGGTGAGGCTTCCCGAAAGGGTATTTATGAATACTGAGTGATGAAGTCTTCTGCGTTTGCAGATCCTGATGACACTCACTACTTAGGCTCACACATTAAACAATGGACATTTCGTTGAGTTAGTGGAATATACACTGTGTGCAAAGAACCTTACCTCAGGATAAATCAATACATGCAAGACAGAAAGGGTGAGAGCTGGCATAAACACGAGGAGGAAAAAAAAAATTATGTGATTGTACATTGTTGGAATAAATGACATCTTACATTATTCTTGATGTCATATTTTGTGGAATAAGATCCTGAAGTCCAGATTAGATGATCACCTGATTTGAAACCAATGTTAAACTGATTCAAAATGGTTTCTTATTGTGCAGAGGTTAGTATGTGATGCATGGTATTTGACTGTGGACTGGGAGAGCTGATTTCGGGTCCCAGTCTCAGCTAGCAGTGATTATTTTTCTGTCAAGTGGTACATTTTCCAAGTCATTGAGACCAGAGGAAAAACAACTTTAGCACCCTCCTATGTTTATGACCTGCTAAAGAATGACATTGTCAATATTCATGAAATTGCCTCTGATTAAACGACTCCATCCCAGAGACAGACTAAAAGGGGGTAACGGAATGGTGAGGTCTGTCTTTGTAGAGGTATGTAAGACTGCAAACTATATGGAAGATGTTGATATGGAATAATACCTTAAACTATGGAAATAAAGCTCTGAACTTGCAAAAGGTAGGTTTGAGATTCTGAATAGCAGATTCTTCAAGTGGAATGATCAACACTTTACGTGGACGTTCCATAGAGTAGCAGCAGTTTTTTGATCAGTAAGGGAATTAAGGAAAAGGCAGGATCATAACAGATTTCTGCATTAAAAAACATTTTTCTCCACCCTGTTAGTTCTTTAGTCAATTTGCCTAAATCTATTTTCTCTAGTTATTGACCCACCTGCCAACGAAAAATGCTTCTCTTTATTCCTCTTATCAAAAGGCCTCAACATTTTGAGCATCTTTATTAAACTGCCCTTTAGCTTTCCTTGCTATGAAGAAAATAATTCCAGCTTCTTTACTCTCTTCACAAAAAATTAACATCCAAGTTCAGCAGGTAATAGGGAAGACAAATGGAATCCCTTGAATCATCAAGAAATAATTAGATGCAGCAATGGATGTACAGTAACATTTTCCAGAATAGGTGAGCTATGAGAAGCTGAACAGCCTTTCATATTCATCAATATCTACAGATCTTGTTATGTGGGGTTTTAGGTGGGATTGCATGGAGTATCCATGCAATGAACAATTCTGAAAGTTTGGGGAGA